CAGCTAAGCCCAGTACATCAACAGCAGCAGTTAACCTCAACAATCAGATTACCAATGGGAACCAGCAGTCAAATCAACCTTCAGACGATCAACAATCGGTGCTGTTGGCGACAGCCCGAGTTACAGTGAAATCACCACGAGGATTCTCCAGCAGAGCCAGAGTCCTCATCGATCAGGNATCAACAACGTTGGAATTAATCGGAATTGGAGGAGTTAATTCCGGCAGCACGAGAGGATTGGTATCAGTTACACTTCAGGCAATCAACGGAAAACAACAGGTTCAGATCAGCGCCCACATATTGAAGAGACTCACCGCAATTCTACCATCGTTCTCATGTGCCTCAGCGAACATCGGTTCATTAGAAAATCTCCAGCTAGCAGATCAGCAGTATCTCAAGCCCGGACCAATCGATATCATCATAGGGGCTGACAACTACGGGCGAATCATCAGAGATGAAGTTGTCAAGTCCAAGCAGTCAAAAGTCGTCGGCCAACGCACAGTCTCTGGTTGGATTCTATCAGGTCCAATCAACTGCACCGGTTGTTCGGTTGACCTCCTCAAACGAACAACTTCTAGAACTTCTCCAGAAATTTTGGGTCCAGGAAGAGTTACCAGTTCAGCAGTCAGAAAATTCAGAGTTATCACCAGACGAGCTGGAGTGTGAGAAACACTTCAGGTCTACACACAGCAGAGATTCAACGGGACGGTACATAGTGGGGCTCCCGTTGAAAACCTCCACAGCAGCTCTCGGGGAGTCGAAATTCAAGGCTTCGCGTCAGCTCAGATCTACGGTTAGCAAACTCACCAATAATCAGGCATATATGCCCAGCTGTACAAGGAGTTCATTAACGAGTACGAAACTTTGGGTCATATGCAAAGAGCACCAGAGACAGCAGAACCCATTCCAGTTTATTATCTTCCACACCACGGGGTTCTGAGAGCAGATGCAATCACCACAAGGTTGAGAGTCGTCTTCAACGGCTCCAGCCCCACTTCATCAGGAACGTCACTCAACGACATTCTACATCCAGGTGGAAAACTTCAGACCAACGCCATGGACGTTCTAACATGGATGAGAAAGCACAGGCTCGTGTTTGGCACTGACATAGTCAAGATGTTCAGGCAAATACGAGTTCATCAGGACGATTGGGACCTGCAGAGAATTTTGTGGGTTGACGACAACAAACAGCAAATCTTCTATTAGCTCACCACCGTCACCTACGGGCTCAATTGCTCCCCATGGCTGTTTCTGAGAGTTCTCCAGCAGTTAGCAGAGGACGAGGGTCCACGATTTCCAGCAGCCGTCGAGACAATCACCAGAGGTCGTTACGTAGACGACATCTACGGCGGACCAGACTCACCAGCAGAACTCAAGGAGATAGTATGGCAGTTATAAGGACTTTGCCAGGCAGGAGGCTTCCCTCTCCAGAAATGGAGCAGTAATTGCCCTCAGCTCTTGCATGAGCTCGGCCTATCAACAGAGGAAGAAGTCATTCAGTTTGAAGAGTCCGTCACCAAGGTACTGGGTCTGTGTTGGCATCAGTCGTCCGACACATTCCAGTACAAATCCAGAGACTTCAACACAGAGACGATCACCAAGAGAATTGTCTCTTCAGAGATAGCCCAGATCTTCGATCCTTTGGGATTTATCGCTCCAGTCGTCGTCCAGGGGAAAATTCTCCTTCAGGATCTCTGGAAACTCAAATGCAGTTGGGATGACCCCCTCCCCCAAGAGTACATTCACCGGTGAGAGTCATTTCGCCAGGAACTCATCGAACTAGATAAAGTTGTCCAATTACACGGTTTCGCAGATGCCTCAACAGTAGCTATGAGTGCTGTGGTCTACATTCGCACTCAGAATCTCAACGAGCCAGCCTCCACAGTTTTGGTCTGCGCTAAGACCAAGGTAGCACCGATCAAGCGCATGACTGTTCCACGTCTGGAACTTACTGCAGCTCTCCTGTTAACTCAACTCGTAACATCAACGCAGCAGATGCTCCAGCTAGACCAGGTAGAAACTCACCTTTGGTCAGACTCAGCAGTAGCTCTCGCGTGGATCAGGCGTCCGGTCTCGAGATGGAAAGACTTCGTCCACAACAGAGTGGTAAAAATCCAGGAAACTCTCCCGAATGCTACTTGGAGACACGTCAGTGGGAAGGAGAATCCAGCCGACTGCGCCTCCAGGGGCATAACACCAAGTCAGCTAGCAGATCATCACCTCTGGTGGACAGGACCTGATTGGATAAATCAGGACCCTGAAGACTGGCCACGATCAACTATCGATGCTCCACCAATGGACATCCCAGAAGTGGCCAAAGAAGCGAAACCAGCAAAATCTCACCCAGTCGTACAGAGAATCAACGAGATTGCCGAGCTCCTCAACAGATACAGCACGATGGCAAAGCTGTTAGCAGTAACAGCGACCATCAACAGGGCCATCGACAGATTCAGGAGGCAGCCAATGCCCCCGGGATCTATCTTGACGACCAGAGAACTCAACGATGCGAGATTATTTTGGGTAAAAATAACACAACACCAGTACTTTGTTTCAGAACTCAGGGTACTTCTCAGAAATCAGCAGCTACCTAGAAATCACCAGTTAGCGAAATTCACCCCAACTCTGGACGAGGAGGGCATCATGAGACTTGGGGGACGCCTCAAGAACTCAGAACTCCATCCAGAACAGATCCACCCAATAATCTTGCCACGTCAGTCCAGATTCACCACACTCGTCATCGCAGAAGCTCACCAGAAGACCCTCCACGGAGGGACACAGCTCACCTTGGCCTACACTCGGCAACGCTATTGGATACTCGGTGGCAGGGGCACAGTTAGAGCCTACATCCTACGCTGTGCTATCTGCGCCAGACACCGAGCTAGACAGGCTCAGCAACAGATGGGTCAATTGCCCGCAACCAGAGTCTCACCAGCAAGAGCATTTCTCCACACGGGGGTGGACTATGCAGGTCCTTTCGCCATCCTCAAGTGGAGACCCACGAATGCTCAACCGGGATCAGTGCACATCGCAGTGTTCGTGTGCTTCACCACGTCAGCAGTTCACCTAGAGCTCGTCAACAGGCAAACCACAGAAGCCTTCCTCGGAGCTTACAAGAGATTCACCGGAAGACGAGGTATTCCAGCAGTCATGTACAGTGACAACGCCACCACCTTCGTCGGAGCAGCAGATCAACTCGAAAGGCTCTATCACCAAGCATCTAAAGAAAATCAACGTGTTCAGGCTGCTCTCGCCACCAATGGGACTCAGTGGAGCTTCTCACCACCTAGAGCACCCCATTTTGGTGGCAAATGGGAAGCAGCAGTAAAATCAACGAAGCATCACCTCAAGAGAGTCCTGGGAACGACAACGCTAACATTTGAGGAACTCAACACAGTCTTAGTTCAGATTGAAGCCTGCCTAAACTCCAGGCCAATCTGTCCGATGTCAGACGACCCAGAAGATCTTCAGGTTCTCACCCCAGGACACTTCTTAATCGGCGAGCCTCTACAGATAGTACCAGAGTCATCCTACGTCGACGAGAATCCCCTCAAGATGAGGAGATGGAACCTCGTGACTCGGATAGTTCAACAGTTCTGGTCCAGGTGGTCCAAAGAGTGTCTCCAACGATACCAGGCTATCTACAAGTGGAAGACACGCCAGCAGAACATCGAGGTTGGTAACATGGTGCTGATGGTCGACGATAACCTTCCACCAGCCCAGTGGCCAATCGCCAGAGTCATCGCGACTAGACCAGGAGCAGATGGGCTCACCAGAGTAGCCACAGTCAGAACGAGCAAAGCAGAAGTCGGCAGACATCAAGATGGGTCGCCTAATCTCCAGAACATCACAGCAGCCCACTCGGTGTTTGACAGACCAATCACCAAGCTCTGTCTGCTTCCTACAGACCCACCTACACCAGAACAACCTCCAGAAGAAGATCACCCAGATGATGAAGACGATCAACAGCAAGGGGACATCCAGGAACTGCAGGACTGAGAGTTAAGTATCATCTTCCATATGTTTTTAATTTGGCAAGTGATACGTCTCTCACCCTGTTTTTCTCCCCTTAGCAAGCATCAGCAGAACCAGAATCAGCAGAACCAGACCAGCAGAAACCAGATCCAGTAATTCAACAACCTGATGTTGAATGCCCCCGGGGTATTTGAAACGCAGTTAAAATTCAGTACATCAACGGTTGACCACAGATCGGCCACTTACGAAAATCTTCGGGAACCCTCGGGTCAACAGTCACGCCTAGTCAATCACCGAATCTCAGCGTTAGTCAGTCGTAGAGAGTCGTAGCAAATGAGTTGAGCGAGCAGTATATCGTTTTTCTAAAGCTACTTTCGGTTGTCCGAACAGCGTCAGTACATCACCCGTTCGAGACATTTTGTTTTCTCAGTACATCNTATTATTCAGAAAATCTCCAGTGTTAAATTCAGAACAGTTTGAATTAATTTCAGTGACAATTAACAGAGTGTAACAAGTGACGCTAAGGTGGTTCGATTCCACCGAATAAATCAGTATATTTTTTATATACTCAGTGCATTCGTTTTTCACCGGCATTTCCACTACCCCTTTCCCAATCAACCCTAAATTCAGTTTTCCCTCCAAACAACGTCTTATAATGAAATAACCTAAATTCAGTAGTTTATCAAATAATTACAAAAATATAATTCACATTGTTATATAATTATTTAATAAACTATTGGGTTTACGTTATTACACCATAAGACGTTTTTTGTAGGAAATTTGATCTTCTACAAAAAAGTTTTTCTTGTAAATTGCTGTAAACCCATTTGTTTACGAGATAATTGCAAAAAAAAAATTTTTCAGCAAAATTTCACCAAAATAAAAAAATCAGAGCTCTGGGGATTCCACAAACAATTAATAATTATTAATTGTTTACTCAAAGCGAGAGAGGAAAGAATCATTCTTTTTCTCTTTCGTAATACCCTCCAAAAACATAATAAGAGCGACAGAGAAGTATCGTTCCTTCTCTTTCTCGCTCACGAGTGGAAGGGAAACTCTATCCCGCCTCCTGCTCAGTGGAAGGGGCATCACGTACACTGATATGTACAGCCACACGGACGTATAGCTGCTGAACGCTGTAGNAGGGTTCACATCAGAAACTCAACGGACCAATTCAGACGTGTTGGTGCCAGTGTTTATATTCTCCGGACAATAGAAGTATAAACACCATTGTCCNTACACTGATATGTACAGCCACACGGACGTATAGCTGCTGAACGCTGTAGCGCCATTGGCTGTCCTTCTCACCCTAATAACTCCTCAGGGGTGCTTCGGATCAAAAAGTGGAAAAGGACTTTTCTGTTCAGAATCACCCCGTGAACCTGCCGGTTTCGGATCGGCATGTACTTCAGGGACACCCTGTATGTAATATCTTCAAAACTACGCACCTATCTAATCTTAAATTGATTAGGATTTTTCTGGCTTCCAATCTGAAGATTAAAAAAAAGCAATTTTTCTCGACACATTATCTTGTATAATTTTCAATTGATCGATTCTTCGTGATGCACTCATCTTATTTTTCAATCTAATGGCTATGGATCCATTCGGAAGCTTACTACCACTGGCATTGGTAGAAGTGAAAAATAAAAAAGACAACTAATGCATGTAGTAATGATCAAATATCTTCTGCCGAGTAGGCTCGTTCGACTGCTTGTCTTTTTCATATTCTACAAAGGTTTCACATATATTTACGACATTGCTTCAGAAAGGTTCAGTTAAAATTGGAGGTGAGGTAGCTAATCTGCAGATTAGCTACCTCACCTCCAATNGTCGAGCAGACAGCCACCACCAGGAAGCAATGCGTCAGGCTAATCAGCAGGTTGAGGGGTCAACTAGCTAAGAAAGCTCAGCCACCCAGTACACCACCGAGTCCTCAACACCACGATCAGCTGAAGAGACTGGACATCAAGCCTTTTGATGGCAATCCTTCACAGAGGAAGGAGTTCAGTGACCACTTCACTTCACTGGTGGGCAGCAAATCTACAATTCCCCCAGTGGAGAAATTGGTGAGGCTGAAGAGCAGCCTCAGAGGACCAGCAGCAGCTCTGATCTCTACGATACCCATCAGCGATCAGAATTATGAGAACGCATGGAGAAAGCTCCAAAAGAAGTACGATGATCCNCAGCAGCTCTGATCTCTACGATACCCATCAGCGATCAGAATTATGAGAACGCATGGAGAAAGCTCCAAAAGAAGTACGTTGATCCCAGACCTTTGGCACAGTACTTATTTAATCGAGTCCTGGAGTTGCCAAAAATCAGCAAACCCACGGAACAGAATCTCACCGACAACGTGGCAGCAGTGGTCGAGTCGCTGGACCAGCTCAGAACAGTGGCCGGCCTTTCAGAAGCGAACCTAACAGAACAGCTGTTCGCTCACGTCCAAACTCCACTCCAGACAGCAGATCACCGCTCCCAGCAATCCACCTATTAAGAACAAAGGAGCTTACGCAGCAACTCAACAAGTGGAGGACAGCGCTCAGCAGAACAGTCACCAAAGGAAAGAGTGTTCCATGTGCAAAGGGAACCACTTTGTTGAGCTGGACCCAGTAAAGATCACGGCCTGGCCGTCGACAAGAAACTATGCTTCAGGTGCCTGGGCACGCACAAAAAAGACAGGTGCAGCTCAGACGAACAATGCCACAAGTGCAAAGGATCTCACCACACTCTGATCCACGGAGGCAGCAGGTACACAGGATGGGCTCCTCCACATCGTGACTCGGAAGCTGCAGGGTTCTCTGGAACTGCCAACAGACCTGCAGAAGAGAGGATCGACGAGGACCAGAGTAAGTGAATGGTCCTTTAATGTAATCAGTACATTCACTTTCTCATTGGTCATTCTCAACAGCTAAGCCCAGTACATCAACAGCAGCAGTTAACCTCAACAATCAGATGACCAATGGGAACCAGCAGTCAAATCAACCTTCAGAAGATCAACAATCGGTGCTGCTGGCGACAGCCCGAGTTACAGTGAAATCACCACGAGGATTCTCCAGCAGAGCCAGAGTCCTCATCGATCAGGGATCAGAGG